AAGGCCACTTGGAGCAAACAAAACCAACTGTGTTGCAAACCAAGAGGTTCAACCACTGGTTCCAACGCTGCTACTGACTCTGTAATGCTCAAAATTATAAGATGGGACCAAAAAAAAAAAAAAAAAAAAAAAAACACACAATGATTAAATAAAACAGTAAAACAGTAATGAAGATATAAAACATGAGGTATCACACGTATAAATTTCTATATGCTATAGTGTCCTAAGGTCCTTGTTTGCACAGTAAACCCTATACAATTCTCCAGAGGCTACACAGAAGCATGAATCCTGGTAGGTTTTGTGAGCAAGAATGTGAGGTTTTAAGTTCAGACAGATCTGAGCACATACAAAACCAGACACCTGGGTGCCATGGTAGCCTTCCTGATGTCTGTAGGTCTTGTAGGTCTGCATTTTTGTAAGTTTGAGGACAACTTCCCAAAGATTTCAACTTGGACTGGGTGCCTCTTGAGCACCTATCACTTGCTGAGGAGCTTGTTCCAAGTGAATTTCCAAACATTTCACATAAGCCTTCAAAGAAATCAAGAACAGTCCTATCTGCTCTAGTGCCTACATGACAAAACACTGACACCTTTTCTTTTAGAAAACAATTATAAGGACATCAACTTTGCTATGGGCTCAAAACCCCTTAGGGGATAGCTTCCCCTTACAGTGAGCAGTTGAAATGCTCTTTCCAGCCCCCAGCATAAGTCATCATTCAGGTCAAGAATGGAGTGTCCCGACTTGAAGCTGTTCTTGCACCCACCTGCCTCCTCACCCACCAAATTTTCATGCTGACATTAACTACCAAATAACGGAAAGCAAAGCTCCCTCATCACCCTCAGAAAAAATGAAGACACCCGTCAGTTCTGCACATCTACCATTAGATAGTGAAACCTGTGTGCGTCACACAGATAATCTTAGTCAGCAAATTGAAGCAAATTGATGTTTTTCATAACCACACAAGAAATAACCTTCAAATAACCTTCAGAAACACATCCTGTCAGTTACTGAACAGCTCTGCAGTTAACTTCCAAGTGATAAAGATTCTGCAGTTTCTTTAGTTTGACCATTCCAGAAAGAAGTGAGTAGCTTGAGTTATGGTTAAACCATAGAAGTGCATAAATAATATATAGAAAAATAAAACCCCATAGGCTGATCTATCAATGTAACAACCGATTTGATAACTTTAAACGTGGATTATCTTGCATGCTTTCTCACCTTTCTGGCAAGGATTTTCTTCCTTCCCAATTCCCCCTCGCTCCTCCCACAAACCCCTGTTTTTATGAAGAAAAAATGACACAAAGGTGAATGTTGAAAAAAATGTCTTTATGAATATGTGTGTGTGTGTGTGTGAATCATACCAAAGCACTCTATTGCCTGGTATGCTTTTTTTTAAGTTAATTTTGAAAAGAAAAATATCACAACTGTTTCACAATGAATACAGATGGAAGACAGAAGAAAAAACTATTAAATACCTGTTGTATCAGTGAAAGCAAGGCATCTTGAGCTTTACCATTCCAACCAACTCAGACCAAGTCTTGGTCTTCCAACCCAGACCAAAACTTGAACTGCTTATTTACTTGGTCAATGAAAAATGTTAATCCTTCAGCCAACTCTACGTTTAGGACTTAGTTTGAAGAGAATCACGTTGTACGACTAAAGTGGTCCTATACATGGATATAATTCACCCTGACAAAAGGATATTTTTGTTACCGTTAGCCCCCATCCTAAGGGAAGCTGTCAAAACTAAAATTCAGGTCCAAGTACACGTAACTGTCTACACCTGACACTCCTGCCAATACTCAAAATCATTCCTGAACAGTTCAGCTACACCCATTTAACTAAGTTAAGTGCAACTGACGTTTGCAACTGAGTTCACAATTGCAACTGACGTTGCAATTTTTTTTCCCTCTTTACAATGAAACGTTGGCTAACACAGCAGAGAATAATTCTCTTCAAACCCCAAACCTCATCGATTGTGAATACATTTGTAACGTGACTACCTGGGTATCCTGATGGAAACAACAGAACATCTTGCAATTAAACACGAGTGGAAGAACAGAGACTTTTAAAATGTAGAAATTATATTCCCTTATTTCTCATGGAATTCGAGGCATGCTGCAGCATCTCTCTTTTACCAATTCAAACACAATTACCTTGTCAAAGAATACAAACACAAGCTGGTGATTTTTTTTCTTCCTTCTGTGGAATTTTTCCTACATGCCAATGACACTTTGTGGAGAAATTCTGAATTGCATTTAAGTAAGACAACTAAAACTTGTTTGTGTGTTTAACTCCACTACTTAGCTACTTCCACTGAAAACCAATCAGATTACCCATGTGTAATCTTTCCTAAGTGAAGACCTGAGATGGAAAAGTTAGACAGGTTGCTTATACAGCCTATGTGCATGTATGCATTACATGCCTTGTACTCTCCAGGTAGCATAAAGTAATCTTATTAAAAAAAAAAAAAAAAAAGTGTAAGAAAAAAATTATAAACCATATAGAACAGGCTTGGGTTTTTTAAGACATGTTTGAAAAAATATTTTGGTAGATCATCTATGGCGCTTTACCCTGTAGTTAAAGTATTCTGTAAAATTATTCAATGTATGTCTATACATATAAATATTTTATGTATTTAAGTACATTCTAGTATCTCAGAAGTAGCCTGTTACAGCAACCTGAGTTAAATGGGGAAAAAAAAAAAAAAAACAACAATACAAGCTCCTGCTCTAGTTGAAACTAATGGAAGCATCCCTAATGATTTTGAAAGACATAAAATAAGCTCATGAATGCCTGCCAAAAGCATCAAACATTAGTGTAATTATTACTTCATTGAAAAAAAATTTATGGGGAGGGAAACACCTTTCATGTTGTAAAGTTCAAAGCCCACTGCTCTATCCCTCCTAAAAGAAACTTGGGACAGGTGAGTGTGAAATGTTGAAGAAATTTCCCTCCCAGTTTCACTCAAAGATCAGCTGCACAAAAACAGAGAAAATTGTTTTTAAAGTTTTCAATATATGCACCATTCTTCAACAAGATACCTCACACAAATATAGAAGATGGCAATATAACTCTAATAAATATATTTATTAAAAGGTACAGAAAACACAAAAGACAGAATCATGAATAAATACTTTGCACATTTTATTTTCCATTTTAAAATTGTAGTGAACGAGTTGTGAATTCCATCATGTATTTGAAATACCTCAAATCCTTCACCATTTTTAACAGCTTAAACATATGTGGCGTAATAATGACTGGCATTATCCTTTACTAATCTAAAGCTTAGAGCATGACAATTGACATTCAGTATTTCAAAGTCAGGGAGAAGCTTGAGAATTATTAAAAAAAAATAAAAATGAAGTGAAACAGAAAAACAAAGTTTATGGCAGAAATAAGAGAGGCAAAGTAAACGGGAAAGGAAAAAAAATAAAGCTTCTTCATCTTGTTGTTTTTTGTTTTTTTTTTTTTTCCAGAAGCATTATTACACAGTAAAGTACTTCCTGGGTGTTGGGTGCATTATGTCATCCTCAGTCTACAAATGATTTCTGCAACTCCACTGCCACTCTGAAGGCTTGCAATAATACTTACTTGTCTTCATGGTATCAAACACTGCAGTTGCTCCTATACCTTTATTGACTGGTTTCAAAATCCAAGCAGAAAAATGCTGCAGAATTGCAAAATAACATTGCCACTGAAAACTTGGAAAGGAGATACAGATTGAAAACCCTATTTAAAAGTCTTGTGAAATTTACCAGCTACTAACTGAATCATTGTCTAGGCTTCCAGAATGCAAACCTGTTCTAGCTGGTAACATGGGATTCCACAGAAACCTGTCTCCACTAGTACGGATGCAGAAACGGGGTCCCAGTCTCCTTTTATGCAAGGAATTGGTACTGGAAGAAGTTTGAAAACCCATCCTTAAAATAGGGCCATTACTCCTTACACACACAAAAATATCTCCAAGCGCAGCAAAATAAAGGACAGCTACAGAAACAGTCACCGAATGTTTAAGTGAGTGAGTGTAACGTATGTAGGTACAAGAAGTGAAAACATTCCCCTGTTATCAACTGGGAAACTGGGAACTCCACACGTTACGTCAGGAAGATATCAGATACCTTTCGCAAAAGAGGAATTATGTAATGTACACTACGGTCACACCACCTGTAATTCCAAAGAAACATCCTTGTTAAACACGTGTGCACACAGAGTGAGGGGATAGCTTTTCTTTTTTTCGTTTTAAAACGGAATAAGCTGGTTTCCCAGCTAACAGGTGAGAGATGCTTCTGTAACAAGCGGCACGTACAGACACCGGTTCTACAGTGTGACCCAAGAATGGAGCCACAACAGACTGACCACTGCAAACAGACAAAGCTTAAGGAGGATATATGGACTGAGAAACAATATTAAAATGATGTTCAGATATAAACCAATATCTTTACAAGCTGCTTTTGGCTCTCCCATTACAAATTCAGGTATCTTCCACTTGTTTGCTTACTTGGAGATAAAAATATAGAGAGAGAGAGAGAAGGCAGGCCATGGTAAGAAGCGACACAGCGAAGAGATTGACCAGGCCTCTGAACACACATCAGCCATCACTTAAAGAAAGACTTAAAAAATACGATTGAGGAGTTTGAAGTTAAATCACCCCGGCTTTGCGGGGCAGGAGGAAGGTGACAGGCAGACACCTGGTAGGGACACGCACTTTCAGCCTACAGAAGCAGGGCGCTGGGTGGGCTGGGGAGAGTTTGCCACCGCCGCAGCCCCGGGGTGGCTGCCCGGCCGCAGGTGACTCACCCGGCGCTGCCACAGCTTCCCCCGGCGGGGTGGGGTGGGGGGGAGGGAGCGAAAAACAACAAAACAACACCCAAAATGAAATAAATAATTAAAAAAGAGAAGGTGTTTTTTGTTCAGAGGGGGAGACATTTTGTGGGTTCGCCGCCCCTTCCCCCGCCGAGCCCGAGGAGAGGGCCCGGTGCGGGCCGTGAGGCGCCTACCTGGAAGTCCGCCAGGATCATCTCGCGGTCCGTGTTGGACGCCATGGCGGCCGCTGCCCGGCTCCCTCCGCGCTGCACGGGGCTGGGGGGGGGGGGGGGGGGCTAGGGGCTCATGGGGGCGCCGCTCGGGATCCCGGGCCTGGGAGGAGGAAGAGGGGAGGAGGAGGAGAGAGGAGGGGAGGAAGGCTGCGCTGCCTCGCTCAGCGGCCGGCCCGGGCACGGCGGGAGGAGGAGGAGGAGGAGGAGGAGGAGGAGGAGGAGGAGGAGGAGGAGGAGGCGGCGGCGCCCCCCCCGCGCCTGTCGCACACTTTGCCTGTCATCGAGGTCGCAAAGCGGCGCTTTGCGGCCGCCACGTGACCGCGCTCCTGTCAAGCGCTGTGCGAGGGGAGGAGGAGGAGCAGAGGAGGGAGGAGGGGGGAGGGGAGGGGAGGGGAGGAGGCGGCGCCTCCTCGGCCTCACGCGCGCCCCCGCTGCTGCTGCGCGGCCCCGCTGAAGGGAGGAGGGCGCGGGAGCGCGCATGGGGAGCCCTGCCCGGCCCGGCCGTCCCTAGGCCCCCGCGGAGGGCCCGGCCCGGCCCGCACGCGGCTGAGCCGGCCCCTCGGAGCCGCCGCGGGCGGGGGGAGCCGGGGGGGGGCTGCGCCGCCGCCTGCGGCCTAACGGGGCCCTGCGAGCACGGGGAGCCCGAGCGGCCCTCGGGGGGGGGGGGCCCTGAGGCGGCCCCGCCGCGCCTCGCCCCGTGAGGTGCCCGCCTGGCTCCCCGGGGGGGCTGCGGGAAGGGCTTGGCGCAGCCTGGAGCCGTCCAGCCGCCCCCCAGCCAGCCCTGGCGTGAAACACCAGCTGCGATGTGCGAATTGCCCGGGGTGTGCTCGTTGTCCCCCAAATTTCCCCAATTGCCTCAGGGTTTGCGGGTTGTCCCCGCCCGTGTCGCGGCCAGCCCGGGTCACACGCCCCTCACGCCCCTCTCCGACCCGTGAGAGCTCCGCCGTGGTACTGTTGTCCTAGAAAGAAGGCTCTTACCCAGTGTGGGGAATCACAGCTCTCTGTTTATTTGTTTGTTTGTTTATTTCTCTGTTCGCACCGGCGAGGTAACACACGAGTTTTTCGGTCTGCCGACTGAATCAAAGGGAGAACTGCGGGGGAAAGGACGGCACCGCCGCACGGCTCGGCACAACCCAGCAGGGCAGAGAGGAGCGGGACTCGGGGAGGACGAGCCAGCGCACACCGTGTGCCAGCCCCGGGCAGCGAGGGCAGATGTTTCACCCTACCTGCAGGACTGTCCGCCTCCCCAGGAGGAGCTCCTCTAGGTGAGGAATTGTTTAAAGCCTGCTGCTGAGCGCTGCTGGGGACAGGCATCTTCAGGACGCACTCGGTGTCTTTCTTGCGGCTGCATAACCGTGCAGAATTTCAAGGTGGATTAAAGCCCTACTAAAACGCCACTTAGGATGCAAAGCCAGAGTATCAGATAAGTTAAATATTATATTTTATCGTGTTTCAGTTTATGTTGGCAAGGTTTCCCAATAGGTGTTTCTTTTTTTTCTTTTTTATTACTCGTCGGTGTAACAATTCGAGCTCCCCACCGCCGAATATAGGGATGATAAAATAAAATAATTGCCTTCACACCTGCTTTTGTTCAGTTTGATGTTACATACAGTTCTGTAATAGGTACAAGGTATGGTGCAATGCCAGTGACAGCCAAGGCTAAATTACAAACAAATCCACCCACACATTACTAGAGAGTAACTATAATAAAGGCTGAAAAGCAAGTTTTAGAAATTGGATTAAAGCCAGTTAATTCCTGGCATGGATGTAAGCTATAGGTGTGCTGTCAAGATAAGTTACACAGTGCTCACGTCTATTACGGTAATATTTTAAATAATGATATCTATATTAGATCACAACAGGAAGGATTTGATCCAGAGTGTGAAGAAAAGGTGAAAAGCTCAACGTGTCCCGCATCACAGGAAGTTCACGTGAAAGTCACAATGAAAGTTTCTATTCTTCTCACAGCTCCTCGCTCTGCTCAGCCCTACAGTTGTTCCCGGGGCGAGTGTCAGGCTGGTTACAGGGGGACACTCTGAAAGTTTAGGCACTGCGGCGACAAAGTCGCCTTCCAGAAGGGGTTTTTGCTGCCGATTTTGGTGCCGATCGGGGCAGCTCGTTCTGTTTTACAGGGAGTACCTTTACCACCGTCAAAAGGAAATGATTACAATGAACACACTTCTTTCTGCAAAGGTTTTTGAAAGGTGTTTGATGAAGCCCCTACTGTGGAGGAGGTTTGACGGCATTTTCTGGCTGGGCAATTTTACTTGCAGAAGGCCTGCAGCATCCCAGCTACAGTTTACTTAATTATTTTTGCTGTGTGACGTGATTACCAGGAGATGGGGGCTTTCTTTTTTAACTGTAAATCAAAAGAATTAGTAGAAGACTGTTGTAAGACCCGCAGGTCCAATTCTGCAGTAAATCAGCAGTAGGTAACACCACCAAAACTGGGAATTTTAGGCACTGATTAGTCCCGAGATAAGTCTATTAACAGCCGCCTGATTGCAAACTCTAAGTTTTGCGTATTGATTCCTCCTTCGTGCAGAAAAACAATTAATATATAGGTATTATTTATACGCCTATATTTCTGGAGTTATCTCTAGGGAAAAAATATAATTCCTATCTTTGTTTACAAAACTATTTGCGCTATTACTTGTGACCGAGAATTATCGTAATAAGGCCCTTAAAAACGCTTTAATTTTCCCCTTTTTGTGGGAGCGGTGCCGGGGGCCAGCTGACACTCGGAGCCCAGCTGCTTGCCCTGCTTCTCCTGGAGGCAGCTCGCTACTTTCCCCCTTCCAATTCTCGCAAGCAAGAGCGGCCCGGGGAATCGGCGCAGGAAAATCGCGAAGCAGCAAGCAAGCGGAGGTTAAAGCGGAGCCGGAGGCACAAATATCATCGCTGCTGTGACCCCCTGGCACTGCGGGGCCGCCGGCAGAGCCCCGGGGAGCGGCTGGTGCCTGCAGCAGGGCGATCATCGCCACCCAGGCCCTGGACGCGCGCTGTCCCCGCGGGCTGTCAGCGGCCGGCCGAGCCCAAAGCCACGCAGCAATCGCCACATGCGACTGTGGAAGCTGTCGCGGAGCCCCCCGGGCTGTTTCATGCGTGTTCCCCTCCCTGGCTACTTGTCCGTGGTGTCCCCACGGCCAGCAGCCGGGCGGATCGCCCCCGCGGCGGCTCGGCTCCGTGTGCTCGCCGGGGAGCCGCGCCGCTGCCTCCTCTTACCTCTGGCAGGGTGAACTCGTGCAGGCTTCAGCCTCCCCGGGGCTGCCTGAAACTGAAAGCAATTCAGCAATGAAAGCAGCGCAAGGCACAAAACGCCGCTGGCCGGGACGGCACCGACATCCCCGGACCGTCCCCTTCTGCGGGCACACCGAGTCCCCCGCGGCTCCTCGGCGGCCGTGCGCGGCTCCCCCTCAAAATGGCACTTTCGAATCAATCAACAGCACCGAAAACGCTCCTCGGGCGCCGAGACAACTTGACATTGACCCTCCTCCATCCTCGACCTTGGCTGCGGGGACAGGACCCCGGGGGTCGCTGCTGGAGGGGGGGGGGGGGGGGACGGGGGGACTCCGAGCGGGGCCGTGCCCGCGGGCAGGTGGCGGCGGGAGGCAGCGCGGCGCCTCCCGGGGCCGAGCCCCCCCCCCGTGTATTTAATTCCTCCGCTCCCCCCTCCCCGGGTTCCCGTCCCCCTAGGCCTCAGCGGTGCTGCCACCAGCGACCTGCCCGCTATGGCCGCTCGGGGCCGGGAACGGCGGCGGGGCCGCGGCCGGGGCCGGGCGAGGGGCGGGCGGTGCTGGCTGCTGGGCCTTCCTGCCGCATCTCGGCAGCGCCTCCTTAAATCTCTGCCGTTAAAATGTGGGCGGGTGTTTCAACTCAAAAAGCGCTCAAATTTTTTTTCTTTTCAAAAAAAGCTGATGAGGTTAAAAAAAAAAAAAAAGGAGGGGGGGGGGGGAAGGAAAAAAAAAAAAAGAGAGCGAGAGGAGAGAGAGAGCGAGAGAGAGAGAAACCGGCTTGGTGTCCGTAGGAAACAGAAGTAGCGATTGTTTGCGCTTAAAAAAGGGGGAGCGCGGAGCCGCGGGAGGAGGCAGCGAGCGCGGAGCGGCAAGTGCAGCGAGCGGCCGGGCGGCCCGCGGCGGAGCGGCGGCTGTCACCGGGAGCCGCGGCCGGGAGGCGGCACCGCGGGGCCGGGGAGGCGGCGGCGGGCACCGGGACGCTGCCACCGGAGCCGCCGCTGCCCCCCCCGCCGGCTCCCCCGGGAGCTCCGGGCCGGACAGCGGCAGCAGCAGCAGCAGCAGCAGCAGCAGCAGCAGGAACAGCAGCACCGAGAGCGGCGACGGCTCCGCACCGCCGCTCCCCCGCGCCCTGAGCCCGGCAGCCGCCGCCGCCCCGCTGGATGCTCCGCAGCCGCCGCCGCCGAGGGCGGCCGCCGCCGGCCGGGATCGCGCCCGCCCGCTGCGCCGAGGCTCGGCGAGGCCGCGGCTCTGAGGCTGCGGCGGGGAGCGAGAGCGGCGAGGGAAGGGAGCGAGCCCCGCGGCCGCAGCCCGGCCCGCCCCGGGGGCCGCTCGGACTCGGACTGCGCCCTCCTGCTCGGCCCCGGGCGGAGGCGGCCGTGGGGATGCCAAGGGGGCTGCCGAGCGGGAGAGGACGAGCACTGCCAGAGAAGACTTTTCCTCGGAGCTGGTGCTGCTAAGTCTCAGATCCCGACCGTGAGCAGGGTGGGTTGCTTTCTTCTTCCAAGATCTCAGGTCTGAGTGAGTCTCCAGTGTACGCGTATATATGTTACGTCTAACATATAGGATATATTGCCTAGCTCTTAATAGCTTTCCCCCCCGAAAACGGCCAAAGTCTTTAATATGAGTTACTCTATATGTGGAAGCAAAGAAATCTTCTTTCAAGTGGAGCTGCAGTTTTGCTGAATAATCACGTGTGAGTTAGGGGCGGGCTCTTGGCAAGGAGTTTTTTTACGAGTATTTACTACAAGGTCTACTCCAGAAGATTAACCATCCCAATCCTTCTGTCAGTCTCCGATGCCATGCCTGGTTAAAAAAAAATCTCATCTTTTTCCGATCGTCAGTCACCCTAAAGAATGGCCGAGCCTTCTGGGAACGAGCTGGCGTCCGCGGCTGCCAAGGGGGACCTAGTGCAACTTACTAATTTGTTGCAAAAGAATGTAAACGTCAATGCACAAAATGGATTTGGGAGGACTGCGCTGCAGGTTGGTATCCAGAG